CCCTGGAAGAGACATTTGTAAACTCCTGTGCATTGCAGCATTATTCATAATAACTAAAACATGAAAGCAAGCCAAATGCTCATTGACCAAGAAATGGATAAGCCAAATGTGGTGTATACCCGTACGAGAATATTCTTCAGTGTTAAAAAGGAGAGGAAATCTAGCACATGCTATGACAGAGAAGAACCGAGTGGATATTCTACTAAGTGATATAAATCTCCCAGGAAAGGACAAATGTTACATCATTCCACTTAAATGAGGAACCTAGGGTGGTCAGACTCATAGAGAAAGAAAGTAGAATGGTGATTGTCAGGAACTGGGAAAGGAGAAGAGGGAATTTTTGATGAATGTGTACAGAGTTGAAGTTTTGCCAGATGAAAAAAGTCCTGGAGTTTGGTTGCACAAAATTTGAAGGTATTTGACATGGCTGAACTGGAAACTTAAAGCGGCTATAATGGTCAATTTTATGTTGTGGGTATTTTACTGCACGCACACACACAAACCCTCTCAGGACCTCCCCCCTGAGGGTAAACACAGAGGAGTCAAGGCTGATAGCAACACTGCAGATGCTCCCCGCCCGCCCAGCCCCGTCTCCACCCCAACAACCCAGGGGTGAGGACTGTCTTCTGTGCTCAGGACTTCCCACTTCGGTTCTTGGAGATGTCTCAGCTCCAGCCCTGCATGGCTTAACCTCAGCCTCCCTGACTGACCCAGCGCTCCAGGCTCTGCTCCAAGGATCCAGTAAGTCTCGGGTCACCCTCTCCTGTAGGAGACTGGACGCTGAGTTCACATCCTCCCAAAGAGACCTCTGCAACCCCAGAGTGCAGGAGGTCAGCCTGGCTCCTGACTGAGGATGGAGAGACCCATTTTCTAGATGAAAGTGTCTGTGCTGTGTGTGTGTGTGTGTAAGGAAAGGTAGGGGGGATGGATCAGTGCTCTGAGGCTCTAAGACAATTTTTACTCATGTTCAAATAATATTAGAGGGTACTACTTACGTGAAGAGTCGGATATGACTGAGCGACTAGGCACACAACACAACCACAACCCTTGTATAGGGCTTATGATGTGGACCACTGATTTCAGTCTCCTGTATACTGCTGGCCCTTTGGATCTATGGGTTTTTGTTCTGCTGACTTTGGGGCAACTGTAAGGGACTTGAACATCCACAGATTTTGGTAAACATGGAGATGAAGACATGGTGACATATTCAGTCATTTTGGGGTTTGCTGCACCCAGGAACTGTGAAGCAGGTTCTGTTATTTATCATGGGCAGCAATTTATTTAAATGATGGTGAAATACATATAATGTAAATTTGGCCAACTTAACACGTATGGAGTTGAATAATGTTAAGTATATCTACATTTTTACATAGCCAATCTCTAAAACATTTTATTTATTTATTTTTTCATTTATTTTTATTAGTTGGAGGCTAATTACTTTACATCATTACAGTAGTTTTTGTCATACATTGAAATGAATTAGCCATGGATTTACATGTATTCCCCATCCCAGTCCCCCC